AGAGAAGCCGACTTCCCTCCAGATCTCGGGTATGGCTTTGTTCCCCCAGTTTGGAATGAGGAAAGAACCTGAGCTAGGAGGCTGAAGTATGTGATCTGGGAGGAAGGAGGGGAGCAGTGAACATGTGTTAGCCATTCCTCAGCTATCTTGTATCACCAAATCAACAACAACAACAACAACAACAACAAAAACAGGATGGGAGGTGGCGGCGCACGCCTTTAATCCCAGCACTCGGGAGGCAGAGGCAGGTGGATCTCTGTGAGTTTGAGGCCAGCCTGGGCTACAGAGTGAACTCCAGGAAAGACACAAAGCCACACAGAGAAACCCTGTCTCGGAAAAAGAAAAAAAAACTTCATCCACGCTCACACAACTGTGTTTGGGGATGAGGAAGGGTTTGGTAAAGCTTCCCTTTGCAAGCCTGAAGACCTGAGTTCAAATCCTAGAATTTACATGAAAAGCTTGGTGCTCAGGGGCAGAGACAGGAGGTTCTGACTCTGGGGCCAGCTAGTGTAGCCTAGTGAGCTCTGGGCCATGAGACCCGTCTCAAAGGGTGTGGACTGCATTTCTGAAGATGACACTGATGGTTGTTCCCTGGCGCGCGCGCGCGCGCGCACACACACACACACACACACACACACACACACACACACGGGAGTAAAAATAAAGTATATTTTTTTGTTTGGCATTTGAGGACATCACAGATCTGACTGACTTGGGGTCTGGGGTGTGTCCACCCATTGACGCTTTCTCAGATGAACTGGGCAGGAGGAGAAAGGAAGGGCCACTGCTGGAATGCTGGGGTCCGGGGGCTGAGCCCTCACACTCACCTCTCGGGGAGTCTTCTCTTGCACAGTCTTAGTGTCGCCCCTTTGCCTGTGGCTTGTGGCTGCTGAATGTGCAGCACCCAGTGAGGTTTCTCTCCTTTGTAGTGAGTCATTTTTCCCTGACTCCCCCAGACTTAGTGGGGAACCCCTCTCTCCATTTCAAGAGAAAAAGTAAATTTACTCAGAAAATCTCAGCTCGGGGTGGAGGAACTTTCCATGGGTTGGGGACCACCCTGTGGTGTGGTGGATTCTCCATTGCTGTGATATTTGATTGAGGGCTGGTTGACTGGCTGAAGGGGCTTCCTTTAGGAGGCAGGGGTTGGGTCGAGGCCTTTAAGGCTCTTTAGCTATAGGCTTTTATGAGTCATTCTGAGTTGAAATGTAGCCTCTGAATGAGGATCAAATATAGGACACCTATGAACTTGGAGACAAGATAGACTTAGGCTCCTACCTCACTGGCACAGTACAGTGTGCCTGAGACAGGAGGATTTTTGAACCCAGGAGTTCAAGGCAAGACTGGGCGACATAGAGGCCTGCCTGGCAGTAGGAAGTTCTCCTTCTCAAAAACAAACAAACAAACAAACAAAAAATGCACAGGGCTGGGGAGATGGTTCAGCAAACAAAGGTACTTGCCATCAAGCCTAAAGGCCTGAGTTCAGTCCCCTGAAGCCCATGCTAGGAGAGAGCCAACTTCTGCACGATGTCCCCTGACCTCCACTCACTTGCTGGGGCATGTGTGCCCACACACATAAATGTGCACACACAATAATAAATGTTTTTAAAAAGGGGGTATAGCCACTTCCTTGCTTGGACACTGGGCACACTTCTTCATTTGATGTCAATCCCCTTCTTCTAAAAGCAAAAACACAAAAACACCCACCTCATGAGACTATTTGGTTTTTTTCTTTTTTTCTTTTTCCATACAGGGTTTCTCTGTAGCTTTGGAGCCTGTCCTGGATTAGATCTGTAGACCAGGCTGGCCTCGAACTCAGAGATCCACCTGCCTCTGCCTCCCCAGTGCTGGGATTAAAGGCGTGCTCCCTCCCCCCTGGTTTTTTTTTTTTCTTTATTAGTCAGGCTGGCCTTAAATGTGCTATGTGGCTGAGGATGACCTTGAACCCCTGGCGCTCCCTACCTTTACTTCCAGAGTGTGGGGTTTGCAGGTGAAGTGGCCACGATTGGTTTTACACAGAGTTAGGGATGGAACCCAGAGCTTTGCGCCTTCGAGGCAAGCGCTCTACCAACTGAACCTCCTCAGCCCTTGGAGATGGCTTTAGGTACGGGTGTGACGTCAGTACCCTGCCCGTGTGAAGTGGGCTCAGTGAATCATACGGCTGACAGTTCAACCAACAGCCGAGCCACAGGTCCACAGGTCCTTTGCTGACCTGTCATTACCGAGTTGAGGGAAGGGTTTGAACTTCTATGTTGAGGTCTTACGTGTTTGGATGTTTAACACGGGCGGGAAGCCAGCCCTTCCTCTGGGGGCAGGGGCGGGGGCGGGTGTGTGTGTGTGTGTGTGTGTATATGGGAGACTATTTTTGAGGTATTCATAGAAAGCATGGAACACACGTGGGCAAAATGCAAGAAGTCCTCAGGATCCATGGGGCAGGGGAGACGTCTCAGCAGTGAAGAGCATGTACTGCTCTTTCAGGGCCCGAGTTCGGTTTTCAGGATCCTCATCAGGTGGCCTGAAACTGTCCAACTCCAGGGAGTCCACGCCCTCTTCCGGTTTCCAGAGGCATCTGCACACGTGTGGTGCATATAAAGATGAGAATGAGTCTCTGATCCAGAGGGAACATGTCAGTGTGTCTCAACATCCCTCCGTGAGAACAGGAATCTCCCAGACCTTGCCAAGCTGTCAATAATGTGTGCAACCCAGGCAATGGGCAACTTTCTATTTTCTGATCATCAGGAAACTCCCCAATTTCCAATTTATCTTCCACTATTTGCCAAGGAAAGGAACTTTTTTTTCCCCCTTCGAGACAGCATTTCTCTGTGTAGCCCTGACTGTCCTGGAACTCACTCTGTAGACCAGGATGGCCTCAAACTTACAGAGATCTGTCTACCTCTGCCTTCCGAGAGCTAGCATTAAAGGCATGTGCCATCACCACCCAGCAGAAAGGAAATTTCCCACAATTACAACCTTTGACACCAGACTCCATAATGTAAGAATTTTGTGACAGTGTGGCTGGCTGAGGCGGAGGGAGGGAGCTGGATGGATCTGTGCTATGCGGAAGTAGCTCATGGTATTCTCAGAAGCAGGAAGACCCCTCTGTAGATTCGACTCTGCCACCTTGTTGTGTCCTTGGGCACATCAGTCTCGGGGCTACAACTTTATCCTGTGTGAAATAGGGCCGATTGCATCTTGTTCACACAGGACCTAACAAAAGAAAGCATGACAACCACTTGGCTCCCAGCACTCTGCAGGTGACAGGTCGCTTGAGGGTAAATGCTGGGCCAGGTATGTGAGCAAACTTGTTAATGTACGCCAGGCAGCGGTGATGCACGCCTTTAATCCCAGCACTCAGGAGGCAGAGGCAGGCGAATCGCCCAGGGATAGTGTCCAGGCTTATCATTTTCCAGGTGGTTTAATCTACAGCACCATAAAAACAGGTCAGTGACTCTCCACTTCCTCTTAGGAGGCTGAGGCAGAAATATGGTGTTTGGGGCTGGAGAGATGGCTCAGTGGTTAAGAGCACTGGCTGCTCTTCCAGAGGACCTGGGTTCAATTCCCAGCAACCACATGGTGGCTCACAGGTGTCTATAATGGGATCTGACGCCCTCTTCTGGTCTTCAGTCAGTCACAGATGCAGATAGAACACTCATACCAAAAAAAAAAGGAATATGGTGTTTGAGACCAGCCTGAGCTATAGATATAGGAAGGTGCTGGGGAGAGAGACAGGCCATGTTATCATGTCTTATTTATACAGTGTCAGGAATTAAACTTAACCTATACCTTTCAGCTCACTACCAGCCCCTAAATCAGTGGTTCTCACGACCCCTTGGGCTGAATGACCCTTTCATGGGGGTCACCTAAGACCATTGGAAAATATAAATACATTACAGTTCATAACAGTAGCAAGATTACAGTTATGAAGTGGCAACAAAAATAATTTCATGGTTGGGGGTCACCACCTGAGGAACAGTCTTAAAGGGTCACAGCCTTGGGGAGGTTGAGAACCACTGGCCTAAGGCCTCTCAAGAGCTTGCCCTGTTCAGCCGCTCCGGTCTGGCCTGCAAAGCCCTACCTCCTGGCCAGCCTCACCTTACACAAACCGAAGACAGCGACGTCAGCCCTCTCCCTCCAGACCGAGCCGTTTCCCTAGCTCTGGCCTCCAACTAACCTGCATCCCTCTTTGGGTCTGTCCGAACTCCTGTGTCCTCGACGGTCCTTCTTACAGACCTCAGCTTGGGGGCCTCTCTACAGGGGCCTCCCTCCCTGACCTGATCTAACTCTGCATGTGACAGCAGCAGGCGACCTTGGCTGTGAACTGTCCCCTCCCATGGAGTATGATCCAGGACCTTGTCCTCTACCTGGATGCATGAGAAATGCCAGCCCCTCTGAGCCTGTCTACCCTCTGTAAAATGGAGCATCTACCAACAGGGCTGTGTTTGGTTTTTATAGACAGGGTTTCTCTGTGGAGCCCAGGCTGTCCTGGAACTCACTCTGTAGACCAGGCTGGCCTCGAATTCAAAGATCCGCCTGCCTCTGCCTCCTGAGTGCTGGGATTAAAGGCGTGCGCTGCCGCTGCCGTTGCCACCACCACCACCCGGCAGCCTGACAGGATTAAGTGACACAGGTGTAAGGGTGGATCTATTTCAGTGACAGAGAACTGTGAGGGGCTCCGAGTTCAATCCCCGGCCCCGGAGTAAAGGGAGGAGAACAGTGGTAAAGCACTTGTCTTGAGCGTAAGGCCCTGGGGTGGACTCTCACCTCAAAGGGAGCGACATGTACCTTAGGGCCAGCCACCGGGGTCAGCATTTGTCACTGCTGGTGTCCTACTGCTCCTCCATTAGTGTGGAATCCTCCGGGAGGAGCACACGGAGGAAACCGGAGGGATTCTCACGAGCTCCTCAAATGACGTGTGCTCCAAGCAGGTGGGCTAAGCTGTCTCTAGCCTACTTCCTGTCCCTTCCAAAGTCCTCAAGGAGGGTAAAGAGCGGAAGAGCATATGCTTCGACTGGATTGTAAGTTTATTAGAAAGGCCTTGGACAGATGAACCCTGAGTTACCAGCTGAGGAGGAAATGAAAAAGCCCTCGACGCCCCCGTGGCCCCACTCCCTGGTCTCCTGTGAACTCTGTCCAGTGACAGACAGGAAGTCTGCCAAAAAGTGCTCTCTGCCTCCTCTCCACAGGGCCGTCCGACCCGGCTGCAGGGGCCCACTGTGGATGGGCAATGTGGATGCTGGTGCCTGGAGCCAAGAGCTGACAGGGCTGCGTTCTTGGCTTTAGCAGAAAGTAGTTCTGGAACCCCAGGACAGGAGGGAGCCGGCTGGGGACCAAGCTCTGCTGGACAGCCAGTGGGTGACTCTGAGAGGCAACAAGGGGCTGCTTGGAGGCGTGTGCAGACGGCTCCATGGCCGACAGAGGGGTGCTGAGGGCCCCAAAGCTGATCAAGTCAGTCTTGGCCACCCAGTCTCCATGCGACTCGCTGCTCCTCCTCCTGGGACTGCAAGGGCCAGAAAGGCAAATGGATCTTGTAAAAATCCATGGTAGATGATGCCGGTTTTTTTTTTTTTTTTTCTCCCTTAAAAAATAGTTCGTACAGTGAGTGGATTTCACCCACGGAGCCCGAGCCCAGAAGAGCCCGTCCTGGGGAAGAAGGCACTTCACACCCTGACTGGGTGATCGGGGCCGGCTACTCCCCAGGCCCTTCAGGAAGGACTCCGCTTCACTTGGTCCTGTGACGCAGGCTTGCTCCCTCTGGGAGGGACTCGGCCTCCAAGGAGTTGGTTTGTCCGCACTGGGGCTCACAGGGTGGTGGAGGGCAGCTTCCTCACCCGCCGCTGGGCCAGGATAGAAGACTCGATTGGCTTCAGCTGCGGGGTGGGCTTGGAGCTATTAAGCGCAGAATACGTAGCTGCCATGGCTCCCTAAGAGAGAGGGTAGGAGATCAAACCATGAGGAGGGTAGACAGACAAGACACACACCGCAGGGTCTGGCCCACCCCTCCCAGGGTCCCCCAGCCCACCCAGCCCACCCTCTTAGCCTTGGTGGTGCTTCACGGCCACAGGGTTTCCCTGGGACACGAGAATACAATGACACTGTGGCGTGGAAGTCCGGCACTCCCTTGGGGGCAGGGCTATGTCTTTTGCCACATCTGGTTTCGGGCCCAGACACAGAACGGTCTGGCTCCGGCGCTGCCGCATCCCCACCCCCGCCCCCTCCCATTCAGCCGCCCAGGCACTGAGGGCCACCTTCACAAGCTGCAGGTCTTGGTGTGACAACTGGCTCTGGGGAAGCTTCTCTTTCTGTGTGATCCACGGGTGCTGCAGGACCTGCTTGGCTGTGAGGCGCTGGTGGGGGTCCACGTGCAGCATCTTGGATACCAGGTCCTGGAGGCACAGTGGGCACGAGGTGATGAGTGGGGCATGGAGGCAGCACACAGCCGTGCCCACCGAGTGCCTCGCCGATGGCGATGACCCGAGGCAATCGTGTCCAGCCATCTCTGACCTGGGCCCTTACAGAAGCCCCTGTAGTCCATTCTTCAGACAATCAAAGTCTCCCCCTAACGATAGCTCGGGCGTCTTTCCCTTCCATCTCTGCTACTCAGGCATTGGGAGGGACATCTTTTCCCTTCTCTTTCTCTTTCAGAAAAGCCACGTGAAAAGGTGGGAATTGCCTAAAGCCTTGGGGATCGAGGAGACACAGATTCAAACTGGACTCTTCCAGGGGTGAGGATGTAGCTGAGAGGTTGAGAGATTTGCCTGGCATGCACGAGGTGCTGGGTTCCATCCCCAGTACGATGAAGAATGAAAACAAAGAGAAAAATCCATGAAAAAAACATGCTAGGTATTTAATCCCAGCATTTGGGGGGCAGAGCCAGGGGGATCAAGAGTTCAAAATCAGCCTCAGCTACATAGGCGTGTAGGCCAGCAAGGGCTGGGAGAGACTGTCTTCAATGAAAAAAATCAAAGCAGACAAGCTCAATGCTTAGCGCTCTCCCAAGACCTGGAGTTCAGTCCCCAGCACTCCTGTTAGGAGGCTCTCAAGGGATGCAGGCCCAGCTCCAGGGGGCCCTGTGCCTTTTGGCCTCTGCGGCACCTGTACTCACATACACATTCATTAAAAATAAAATTAAGACTGGGGGTGGCGGCGCACACCTTTGAACCCAGTGGGGAGGCAGATCTGGATGAAAAAACCAGCCTGGTCTACAGACCCAGTTGTAGGCTAGCCTAGACTATATAGTGAGACCAAACCAAACCCCGAGACAGTAACAAAACCTTAAACAAATAAAAACCCTAAACTTCGTTTCTATTTCTCTTCAAGCTCTTCTACTCACTAGGCTTGACTGTCCCGGACAGTTACTTAACTCTGAGCCTCAGTTTCCCTCTGAGAAATAGAGCTAACAATACCCGCCTCAAACACTGGTGTAGGCTGTGCTGTTTGTGAGAGGTCCAACCTGGTGTTCCACGGAGGTTCTGGTGATTACCAGACCCCATTCCCAATACCAGACCCCATTCCCAATACCAGACCCCATTCCCATACCAGACCCCATCCCTACACCAGACCCCATCCCCAATACCAGACCCCATTCCCATACCAGACCCCATCCCCAATACCAGACCCCATTCCCTATACCAGACCCCATTCCCAATACCAGACCCCATTCCCTATGGTGCGATGCCTTATTCAGCCTTGATGCAGGGGGAGGGGCTAGTCTGTCCCCAACATGGTAGGACAGCCTGTGTTGACTACCCAAGGGAGGCCTTACCCTCTATGAGGAGGGGACGGGGGTATGTGGGGGGGGGGAGCAGGAGAAGAGGAGGGAGGGGGAACAGGGGGTATGTAAAAGGAAAGAAAAAAAAATTTTTAATAAAAAGTTATATATATATTAAAAAAAAAGAAACTTCCCAATACTGAAAGGTGAAGTGTAGCCTCCTTTGGGAAGGCATTCCACAGGGCATGGACAGGTGCCCACATGCCTTGCCATGGAGACCAGCCTCTATGTGCAGGCCTGTATTGTCTACCACACCAACTTTGCACAGAGAGGGACAGGGGTTAGGCAGCATCTGCATCCCTTCGGCCCAGAACATGGAAGGGCCTGTGAAGTTATCCAGACAAACGGCGAAGGGTGTACGTCTAGGAATCTTCTACTCGGGGCAATTCTGCAGCGGGGATTGTGGAACATTCCACTTAGGGGAAGAGGCTGCGGGAAACCTGTCCCTGAACTGCTGACGGCAGCAGCCTGGCCCCGGCCTCCAGGCCTCACAGACTCACCTTGGCCATCTCGGAGACCGTGTTCCAGTTTCCCCCACTGAGGGTGAACTTCCCACTGCCGATCCGGGTGAGGATCTCCTCCGGGGTGTCGCTGGGCCCATTGGCAAACGGAGTGTATCTAGAGAAGTCCCCGGGCCCAGCTTTAGCCTCTGGCCTCCATCCTGGCACAGGGGGAGGCTAGGAGGTTGGCGGCTCCCAGGGGCAGGGCCACGGGCCCGGACTTCACACTCACCCTGCCAGCATGGTGTACAGCAGGACTCCCAAGCTCCAAACGTCACAGCCTTCATCATAGCCTTGACGCTTCAGCACCTGGCAGGAGGGGGGTGGGAGGGAAGTGGTCAGGGCTCAGGGGCATTCGGAAAGGATCAGTTCCCAGAAAGGTGGGAAGCAGTCGAGGGCATGGGCTATAGGTCTTCCCTTGATACCTGGGTCAAGGTCATGACCACTTCCGTTCTGGGCAGCATGGGGCCTTTGAGAGCGGACACAGAGCTTCTGTTGCCTCCACCTACCTCAGGTGCCACGAAGTTGGCTGTGTAGCAAGGCGTCATGAGAAGTCCATTCTCAGCCCGCAGCTGCTTGGCAAAGCCAAAGTCGCAGATGCGCAGGCACTCGGGGTTCCCGGACTCGTCCACATACAGGATGTTACTGGGTTTGAGGTCTCTGTGGACGACCTAGGGGCCGAGGGCTGGGTCAGCACATGGTGCAGAAGGTACCAGTGACCCATGCCAACTGTCAGAATTGGCAAAGTCACGCAGACAGGAAAAGGGCCAGACCCCGAGAGGGAGGACATGTTGAAATGGGGGCCCTATGTCGGTGTTGCCTAAAAAGAAAATTGTGGGGTGGTGTGCCAGGGCGCACAGCTTGAGGGAGTCAGTTCTCTCGCTCCACCCGGGGGGTCCTGGGGATCACACTCGGGCCGACAGCCTTGGCAGCAAACGCCTTCGCAAGCTGAACCACCCTACCGGCTTCACATTGCCTTCTGGAAGCTCCGTGAAGATGCCCGTGGCCCTCCCTAATGTCTCCCCCATCTCCTCACCACCTAGTCTCTTCTAGGGCAGCTCCCTCCTTCCTACAGTATGGGTCCTTCTTCCTTTTCCTCTTCCCTTTTAAAACATTTCCTATCCCTCTACCATTTCACCAACAAACTCTGAAGGCTCTGCCCAGGCACTCTGTCTCTGTCCTGTCAGGATCCTGTCCCCAACACCATCACCCGCCTTGAGACTCTGCTGCTGCCAGTGAGTCCCTTAAACCTAAGTCAAGGGGTCGGTGAGAGGCGGAATGGGGAAAAGGCTCACAGTCGATCCGACGCCCGAGTGTGATCAGTGGAATCCATTTGGTGGGAGCAGAGAACCTACTCCCATACATCGTCCTCTGACTGCCACATGCATGTGCCACAGCATGAGTACATGCATGCATGTGTCCACACACACACACACACAAAATATATAATAAAAATGTAAAGAAAAAAAATGGAGGACTGGGTATGTAGCTCAGTGTTATAGCACCTTGCAGAAGGATCAGAAGTTCAAGTTCATCCTTGACTACACAGTAGGGTAGAGGCCGACCTGAGATACAGTCCTTGGAAACAACCAACCACCCAGCCAACAGAAGCAGGGCTAGAAAGATGGCTTGGCGGTAAGAACCCTGGCTGAGCAGGGAGGTGGGGGGTGGGGGGCTGGCGCACGCCTTTAATTCCCAGTCCTTGGGAGGCAGAGACAGGTGGAACTCTGTGAGTTTGAGGCCAGCCTGGTCTACAGAGCAAGTTCCAGGACAGCCAGGGTTACACAGAGAAACCCTGCCTTGAACCCCATTACGCCCCCCAAAAGAAAAAAGAACCGGGCTGGAGAGATGGCTCAGAGGTTAAGAGCACTGGCTGCTCTTCCAGAGGTCCTGAGTTCAATTCCCAGCACACACACACACACACA